AAGCAAGCTGAGAAAGATTTTATATAACTGTAATATCTTGCACGAGAATCAAATTTAAACCATGAACTAGGAGATGATTAAAAAGTGCTGTTGTTAATCAATACAGCAGCATCAACATGATATAACACAGCACACTTCTGATGATCTGATCTTCTTTATAAAAACATTATAAGGTGCTCCTAAAAACAATATTCTTTTCACATATAGATCACCTCACATTATTGGGTATATATTTAAAACAAAACTATTAATTTATAAGTTCATTTTACGACTCACTCTCCCTCTGTTGCTCCAGATGAAAGCAATTGGGCAGACAGAAAGGAGGAAATGAATGTTCCCTAATCACAAAGGAATAGAGAACACATGCTACAAGAAAGAGTACAGGTCCCGTTTGGGCATTCACTATGTAAGTATTATACAATAAAGCAGTTTTGCCATGCAATCAGGTTTGTTTCCCTACTGGATGTTAGTTACTCCAAGACCCTTAAATGCACAATAAAACAACACTGCTAACCAAGACTGTTTTCTAATCAACATACGATGCAAGTTGTAGTAGACAACAATTAAAATAACCCGTGCGCCAAAGAACTAGATATTCATTAAATGCCCAATGCTAATTATAACAAAAAGCTATCAAAAAATATGGACAGTCCATATATGAATGAAGTGCAAAAACCGTTGATGGACACCATAGTCCGTCATAGTCATAGTCAGATTGTAGTCAGCAGCTTGGTTGCAGTGAAAAAGAAAATTTTTGGTGGCCATATAGTTAATTTATCTGGTGGTGGTTTGCTTTCCTAAAAATTGACGATGAATACATCTATTAAGTAAATTTTTTATCTAAAAGTTCTTACAGACCTTCAGTCTTGTTTAGTCCAGTAATAGTAATTTAGTTACATTCCTCAGACAGCAGTTTATGTAATATGAATGGACACACAAGTAACTCCCAGACACCAAACTCAAAAGAAAAGCTTAGAGTGATACAACTTTGAAAGAGGTATCTTGTAAAACCTGAGACCCAAGGAACACCCATATTCACAGCCAATAACCTGGTCATGTGACATGTACAAAACAGTGTACAGATATCTATTCTACACAAAAAGATGTAATGTTAGTTTATTTCCCACAAACAGAAAACACATAAAATGTCTTTGAGTGCCAAAGAGCAACACAAAAGGGTTAGTATTAGTAAATAAAATATAAGTACATGGTGGTGACAGTGTTAGTATAACATATGGTATATGAAAAAGCTATAAAAAATGATTCCCCAGTTTTCTGTTAAATACGCTTTCGTTGACTACTTCTATAGAGTGAATATTTGTTAGCAGGCGCAGACACCTGCCTTCAGGGGGATTCCATATAGAAAATGAACAAATTAATGAGAGTTGCAGTGCACATGTTGTTCAATGGAGTAGAAAAGATGCATTGTCCAGTCAACACACAATTTTATTTGAAGAGCTCCTGTAATTAAGTGAAAATGTTTCTTTTAGCAAATTATTTTATTTAAACCTGGTTCTGATTTAGCATCAATGTGCCTCAAATTGGGGCTTACTGTATATACATAGTTTAATCTATTTAAATTTGACACTTCATAAACTACCAGTTGCCGAGATTGTTTTGGATTCAATTTATACAAAGGTATGTTTTAAGCAGTTCATATGCACAGCCAAGCTGTTTGATGTGCATTGATTATGCTTTCATTGTTATATATGCAGTACGGGATATAATATGCTAAGGCAAAGCTTTTATTACTGTTGGGTGGTATTTGGGAACTTTGTTGTTCATCTGGTATTAAACATCTTCTGGGGGTCTCTTTGTTGCCCATAGCAATCAAACACCCTCACCTGTCATATATCTAGTTTTTGACATAGAACATATTTTGAATCCTGTCCAATTATACCACACAGCAAATGCCCAGATAGGCAATGCCAGCCACTTTTCATATGCCATTTGATAATTTTTTTATTCATAGTGTTCAGTTAGCAAATAGTATATGAATGAATACTTTATGTCCATTAGTCTTTTTTACGTATAATATTAGGATAATGATAATCGGGTCATGGTCCTGGACAGTTATTTGGCTATGTTTATGTTTAGATCATTAAAACACTAAATTGTATATTCAGAGATATGTGTTTTCACACTTTCTTTCCAACTTCTTAATGTGATTATTCCAACAATATAGAGGAACCTGAAAGTTCTTTTATGAATTGTAATTGTTAGGAAAATTCTATTATTTCTGAAAAATTGATTTTCCTTGAAGCTGCTCCTAATAGGTGGTGAATTGCTTTCTGTGACACAATGCTTTTCCAGTGCAATCAGTCCCTATGACACATATTTAAAGGCAAGGTCCCAGTAGTAATTAATTACAGGGATACGCAGGCCCTTTGTCTTAGGCATCTCTCTGCAGGTTCGGACTATACATGTGGTTTTCTAGAAGCTGCCAAGCAAAGCACCTGCATGAGGAGGTAAACACACAGCTGCTACCTTCTGACATTCTTATGTGAATGGCCCTGTGTTCCTTGGATATGAATAATAACGTGGCAAAAAGGTTTAAGAGAAGGAGCAAGTAGGTTAGGATGTGTGACTGCATTCTTCACAGAACAATACGTGCCTTGAGAATGAGGAGAGGGGCTATGCCTCAATAAATACCAAACTGAATGTACATACTAATTATTGGCTTCAGGAATAATATGTTGGAGCAGAATTTGTTGTCTGCAATGTTAAGGGAGAATTCTGTATGAGGACCAAATGATTCAAAAATGGGAAATGTTCCTTTTTGCCCACAAAGCAAAGGAAATGCAGTTAACGATATAAGCTCCCGCAAACACAATGATAATGTTTTGTATTTTATTACTTTATTTTATTACTTTTTACGCAGTTTTATGTCCATGTTTACCTTTGATTGCATACACATACTCATTTTGCTTATTGCTCTTTTGCAGTGTTGGGGTCCTAGGTTTCCTTTGATGGGTGCCTGGAGCACCCATCAAAGGTGTGTTTATATGTCTGTGGTAAACTGTAAGCAGGAAATTATATAAATGGTTACATTTGCAATGCTTTGTAAAAAAGTGTGATTGCTAGATAAATGAGTAAAATTAATTAACATGATTCAAACATATACCCAAGACCCAACTGCTGAGTGTGGTAAATTGTTTAAAAAATGTCCTTAGTATTGAATGACCTATGTAGTTCTATTGGAGACCCTAAAAGCATCACGAATCAGTAATGTATTGTGGCTCAAGTGGAGAATGTGCTCAAAGGGGTTGATTTATTAAAGACAAATAGACTATCCACTTTGCAAGGAATTTTCCCCAGGACTTATTGAATGAGGTGAGGCTGTGCTGACTTCCATTATCCAATCATATGCAAGCAAAAATGCTGTCTTGTTTTTCTTGCATGTGATTGGGTAGTATTGGCAAAATGAAATTTCAACACATTTCCTAGGCCCTGGGGCAAATTCTCTGGCAAAGAGAACAGCCTATTTGCCTTTAGTAAATCAAACCCTTGGCTTCATTATCTTGTCGCATCTAATGAATAGCTGATCTATTATGATGGGACAAAGGATCTGCATTTAAGAACCTTTGTAGCATCTCGAAATGCAGAACACATTGGGGGAGATTTACTAAAACTGGTGCACTTAAACATTGGTGCAGCTGTGCATGGTAGCCAACCAGTGTCTTTCAGCTTGTTCAATTTTTGTCAATAAACATGGAAGCCAATTGGTTCCTATGCACAGCTGCACCAGATTTTGCACTCTTCAGCTTTAGTAAATAACCCCCACTTTGTACCAGCAGATTACATTCTGACAATGTAAAAATGTTTGTTACTTTTTAAAACCATGTTTGAAATAAATCAGACGTGGCACGCAAAGCACCAGTACCACATCTCCCTTAAATAGATTACATACAAGACTACAAATCATGGGACTTTTAACATGTCATATATATTTTAAGACCATATACAATAGTCATATAAATAACTCTTTATTTACAGAGTGATTTTTATATGAATATTATGTAATATGTTAAATGTCACATGAGTTGAAGTTTTGTATTTATGTACTCTTCATTGGGATTGGGTGTCTTTATTCTTCTTGACTTGGGGATCACCATTAGTTTTCAACATCTGACTTAAATAGAACTATTTGAAGCTAGACCACTTGCTAGTTTGGGCCTGATAACAAGTAGTGATTTTCATAAATCCACATAAAGCAATCTGCAATTTTGTAAATACAGAGATAAGTCAGATTTGCAATTGCTGTTTTGTTCTGGGTGTGCAATTTTCAGACAATGAATATTTCCTATGGATAGGAACAGTGGTTCTCCTCACAAAGAGGAGCACAAATCAATTGAAGCTGCTATGTCAAGTGCAGTGCTTACTAGCTGCTAGGGGACAAATTGTTATGTATGTACATTTTAAGTATATATTTATTTATATTGTACTGCCTGTTGACTGAGGACCATGACGGTTTGTATTGTGTATCTGAAAGGCAAGTAAAAATATACATTTGCATGGTGTGCTCTGATTGTCTTACTTTTCCTTATATGTACCACCTGCTTGATTATTTTTGGTTGTTTATCCCATTCTTCTATTACTATAGTACTTCTAAATATTATGTATTATTTAATTTGTTTGTGGCTTACTGGGGCAGTTGATGCTGCAAATATTCACATAAAGTGTATTTAATCTGTTTGTGGCCTTTGTTGGGACATCTGATATTGCAACTATTCACATCTAATAAATGGTGTCTTCCAAGAAAATTGGCACTGTTACTTGTGGAAAAACACTGCATATTTATTATTTATTGTTTACATATCAATATAGAGAAAAGATAGAACATGCTGATCATGAATAATTAGTTATTATGGGTTAGTAATGTTAATGATATGACATAGCACAAGATATTGTGGACGGTCTACAAGATATGGAATGTGACAAGAAAGTTGGCATATAAAGACGGACAGACAAGACTGACGCTCTGACTCTCAGTCGCTCTCAAGACACTTTACACGTTTGTGTGATCTTTTTTTCTTCTTGGAACCTGAGAAGAAAACAAAACACATGCAGTAAGGTAGTGTGGGGTCAGTTAAGAGGAGGGTTAACTCATGAGGTGATTTTAGCACACACAAAGGATGTTTTAAGGCTCATAGGTTATCTTTGGGGCCCATGAACCAATAGAAGAGTGGGTGAGCAGTCTGACCCTCAAAGCTGTCGCAGAAAGAACAAAGTATTTGGAACTTCATGCTTGCAACACTAATACTATACAACAAGACCACAACCATCTCTTGGAAAAAGTTTTGATTGAAAGGCCATTTTATTTTTTTGCTGCCCTTTAAAATGCCACCTTTGAAAGTGTTTTTAAAAAAGTAATTCAAATTAAAAAAAAATCCCAGAGTGATAGATACCGGTATTGTATGGAAATGATTGCAGTAGTCATGGTTCATGTTGGTTGCTCAAGCATAATGACCAGATTCAATGCAGTGTCATGGAATATGTTGTTCGGGTCAAGTTATAGTATGCTTTTACCAGTGTTCTTTAGTATCAATGGATTTGGGTAATAAAGATGGGTTTGGCTTTTCACTTTCCATTATCTGTGATTGCTTTAGATGTTCTCATTGGTTTTACTTCTTCCCTTTTTGAAAAATGATCCTTCCTTTTGCTCACACTCAGCCTGTTCTCATTGTAGATTCTGTATATGATCTGCTTTGAATCATTAAGTATTTTTGGCGGTATGAAGTACATCTGTCCAATATTAAACTGGACTAATCTTGGAAAGAACTCTGGCACTGTAATTTGATTGTTAAGTCATATGTCAGCACTATAAAAATATTTTAAACACAATTACAGCTGGCCTATAAACATTTTGCTATCCAATATGCTATGAAATCCATAACATTTGACCGTAGGCTCCATTCCAACTCCTCTTTATGTGACAGTAATAATTAATGTACTGTAAAACAGGATGATACCCAGACAAAACAGTACATAGTGACAAAACCACACCCAAACATATTAAGAAAGGCAGGACAATACACAAGAGTGTATCGGGCTGTTACAGATGACTTTCAGGTTAAACTAAATAATGTTTCCTTTTTATTAAAGTGTTACTAAGCACACAACAGTAAAATCAGTCTGTATATGCAGCAAAGCATGCTTGTAATACTTACTGTGGAACCTAAGGGGTTAATACTCCACATTGTGTAAAAAGGCTGTTTGATCCTCTCTCCTCTGAACCTCCCCTTCTTCTACTGTCCCCAATATAACTCCTCATAAAACAGAGGCTTGGAGGCAAGCTGCACATGCTCAGTTTGGTGTGTATTACTAGAGAGGTTTTTTTTTTTGGGAGAGTGCATGTGATCAACACAAGGCCAATCAGCACTGTCCAGACAGAGGGTGCAAACTAAGCATATAATAACATATGTATGACTGCATGAATGTGTTTGCTTTCTTTACAGAGCTAAGCTTTTTACAGACTTGTGTAATATATTGCTATAAAGCATCCATTTGGGTATTAGAGAAAAGAAAAATAGAATAGAATTGTGTCTGTCATAATGATCATGTGCCTTCAGTTATTTTAGAGCTATTTACCCGGACATATACAGATCAGAACTTCTGCATTTCATGGCTGTAGGCTTGTTCTTGGTCAGTGACTCATAACATACTGGAACCATCAACAGCCAGGAAGAAAAGCATTTTAATCTCCTTTAAAAGACTGCTAAATCTCTGAGAGCAACCAAACACAAGGATAGGTTCCTCTGTGTTTGTCCACAATTAGGGGGTATGTTATGCAATCTGCTAGACTTAACGCCATGGATAACAACATATAAATCAGTCAGTACCTAGCAAAAAAGCCAACTCTTGCTTATTGCTTATTATTAGTAATCACACATCGCATAAATCATTCAAATGCACATATCAGCATTACCAAACAGCTTTCAATTTTTGAAATACAAGAAACAATCTCTCTCATCATGAAAATAACTGCTGCTCTGAGCTTCACCATGTCAGACGACATAGTTTCTGGCTACCAAGTGCACTGTAGATGTTTGGCATCATTACAGACTACAGAAACTCTATTGTTTTTGATCAGGCAAACATTACCAGTCAGAAAAATAGTACGGCAGGAAGAAAATAAGGGTTTTAAACAATAGGCACATTTTGATAAAAAGCATTTAGCTGCTTTCTTCACATGTAAGCATAGAGCTAAATAGCATAAAAAATGATTGTTATGGGGCCTACATTAGTCAGAATCAGCAGTATGGGTTCTTTAATACACCTCTGCTCTATGTCATCCACCCCACTCCAGAGAAAACTTTGTCAGGCTAAAAGAAAAACTTGAAATGTATATTTATGTTCATCTATCAGCCATATCTGTATGACCACTGATGGGTAAATTGAGTGACATTGATTATCCCATTACAACGGCATCTGAAAGTTGGTGGGATATTAGGCAGCAAGAAAACATGTCCCTGAAGTTGATGTATTGAAAGCAGAAAAAATGGGCATCGCAGTTTGTTGTGCATGGGGCTGTGTAGCTGCAGACTGGTCAGATTGCCCATGCTAACCCACACCTACAGCCAAAAGTACCTACAATGGGCACATGAGCATTAGAACTGGACCATGGAGCATAGGAAGAAGGTGGCCAGGTCAGATGAATCACGTTTTCTTTTATGTCATGTTGATGGCCGAGTGCGTGTGCATCGCTTACCTGGGGAAGAGATGGCACCAGGATGTAGTAAGGGAAGAAAGCCAGCCAGCAGAGGTAGTGTGGTGCATTGGGCAAAGTTCTGCTGGGAAACCTTGGGTCCTGTCATGTGGATGTTACTTTGGCACATACCACATACCTAAATATTGTTGCTGACTAAGTACACCCCTTCATGGAAATGGTTATCCCTGATGGCAATGGCCTCTTTCAACAGAATAACATACCCTGCCACACTGCAAAATTGTTCAAGACTGGTTTAAGGAACACCACCACAAGTTTGAGGTGTTAACTTGCCTCCAAATTCTCCAGATCTCAATCCAACTGAGCAACTGTGGGATGTACTGGAAAAAGTCCAATCCATGGAGGCTCCACCTTACAACTTATAGGACCTAAAGGATCTGCTACTAATGGCTTGTTGCCAAATACCTTGGCCTCTTGGTGTCCATGCCTTGATGGGTAAGGGCTATTGTATGTATATGTGTATATATAATATATATATATATATATATATATATATATATATATACAGTATATATATATATATATATATATAAATATATATATATATATACAGTTAAAGACTCTTTAATCTCCCAGTTATACAATATATTCTGTTTTAAACTGTATATTTATCTGTTATCCAACTGCTGTGTTTTTTTAATTCCCTGAATTAGACAAACCATACCTTATGGGGATTAGCTAAGACACTCGAAAATATTTTTATATTTTTGTATGTCCTCTTCAAAAGAAAAATTAAAATCTGGTGCAGATCTTCAGAGGCATAATTCAGTGCTAGCACTTAATTGGAAAAATTAGTAAAATAGGCTAACAAGTATGTCTGTTTTTCAAGCATTTGTAGAACATTAAAGCGGGACTACACTGCATCTGAGCACCACAAACCAAAAATGCTATTTCATTCAATGTTAATATTCACAGCAAATTCCTCCATCCATCCATGTCTCCGTACTTTATTTTGCTTAGAAATCACTTTGAAAAACACCCCTTAGCATTTCTGGCCGTGGCCATCTTGAGTAACGGCAGATGATTCATGTAGCATTTACTTCCTTGAATCCATCTGCCTATAGCTCAGGCATTGGCTGTGCTGAGAACCCTCCCTCCCCTACTGAAGACTCCTGGGATGTGTTACATCATTTGCCTAGGCATGGGAACCAGGAAGTAACTAAAGAAATGTAAAAACAAAAGTTTAAAACACGTAAATGAAATATTTTCTGATCCATTTACCAATGCTAGCAGCATAAGGATTAAAAAAAGTCCATGTTGATTGAAAGAGTGAAGTTGTACTTTAAGCAAGAATAAAGGTCATTATTGAGAATGGAAAGAGTCTTGTTCAACTCCATGAACTTCATGTTTCTGCTACTGTTTGCAATGGCGCCTAAGAAACAGTTCTATCAGATAATTATAAAAGCCATACTATATTGTCAGTAAAACACATTTTTTACTTCATGAAGGTTTTACACTTTTTAAAATCACCAATTTCCTCACAGTAGAAAGACACAGACGGAGTTGCACTTCAAATTAAGCAACAGATACTGTATATCTGTTTTCAAGACATGATTCCTCCTTCGTTTCCTTGCTATGTATAACCGCTAACATTTGAAAGTCAAGTTAAAAAAACACACACTCTTTCCATGGCGAACCAAACAATGGTCAACTTGGAACATACCTAACTGGAACTAAATTTATACATTTTAAACTCCATAAATTGGTACTAAACTCCCCCCATGTTTTTTCCATCCCCTCTTACCTGTATTGTCGTGTTATCTTCACAACACATATTCACCCACACAGTGAACCCAGCATTGTCGCACTGTGATCCATTGTTTGGGTGACATAGCCCAAGTCCCTCAACACCATCTTGGACCTCTTCAGCTGGCTACCTTTTCCAGGTTCTGGCACCTAGCTCTTGATGATGTATTGGGCATGCCCTCTGGCCCCTATGTGTCCCTGGTTCTGCAGCCTCCACTGGGCCTTCTCCAGAGCCAAAATAATAATAATAATAATTAAAAAAAACAGTTTTAAGTGTAGAGGGGGAAGAGGGTTTGAAAGGAACAAACTCAACTTTTGGAGTTAAAGTAGTTGTAAAGGCTGAAGGTTTTTTTATCTTCATCCAATCTATGCATGAAGGTAAAAAACCTTCTGTGTGCAGCATCACCCCCAGCCCCCCCCCCCCCCCCCCCCCCAATACTCCCCTAAGCCCTTTCTCGATCCGGCGATGTGCATTGGAGTCTCGGCTATCCAGGGACTCCCTCTTCTCATTGGCTGAGACAGAAGCGGGAGCCATTGGCTCCCACTGCTGTCAATCATAGCCAGTGAGCCAATGAGAAGAGAGAGGGGGCAGGGCCGAGTCGCAGCTACGTGTGTGAATGGACACATGGAGCAGCGGGTGCCCCCATAGCAAGCTGCTTGCTGTGGGGACACCCAACAGGAGGGATGAGCCTGCAGGGGACCCGACAAGAGGAGGATGCAGGCTTCTCTGTGCAAAACCACTGCACACAGCAGGTATGTATAGACATGTTTGTTATGTTTTTCTTTAAAAAAATAAGCCTTTAGAATCTCTTTAAGTTAATACAGACTTAAACCCCGGGATCATTTTTGGACAGAACAAATATTTACAACTCAGTGCCTGATAAAAGGCATTTGAAGGGTGTCTACACTGAAACGGACAGAAATTTTTCTTTGTAAATTGCAGGACAGGAAACGCTACAGTATCAAGCCTTGCCTGTCGAAGCTGCTATAACATTGTACAAAAGCATGTACTACTCTCATACTTTTAATTATGGGATATAATTACTGACAACGGTATTGATTTGGGTATTGTCCCTTCCCCACACCGCTGCAAAAATACCAGATGAGCCTTTTATTTAAATTACAAAACTGATCTCTGTCAATATTACGTTGATAACATTAGGAGATTCCTCAGACAGTGCTGAACCACATCAACCTGTTTTTAAGTTTACTAAACACTGAAACTCTACTACAGGGGTGCTCAACCTGTTACCAGTAGGCTACATGTGGCCCTTGAAGCCCTCTGATGTGGCTCTCCACTTCAAACTGAATTCACAAGTTTTGGTGCACTTTCAGAAAGTGCAGCACACCCGCAAGTTATAACATCAGGGGTTCGCAATGGCAGCCCCACCCCATGATCCAGGGGGCATCATGGCCTCTCTGTCACATTCTGTTTTACTGGACTTGAAGGGCAGTGGGGTGGCATATACAGGAACTGATCCTCTCCATGTTCCCACTACAACCGCTGAAAGCCATTTTCTCCTTCTCTCCTACCAGCATTCAGCGGCTGCTATTCAAAATAAAACATTCAAAATTCGGAACCATTTCATTTCATTGTAGCCCGTGATTGGTTACAAATGACTTAAGTGGCCCTCGTTTCTCAAAAGGCTGAGCACCCATGCTCTACTAACTCTCACACAATATGTTTATGCCTGTACACCACTAGCACAGTGAAACACTACAGAATATGTAATAGGTAGGTTACGGTAATTTAATTTGTTTATTCTAATAGAACAAGTCAGATTGTGGCTGTATGGTCCATATGAGATCATACTGTGTACAAGAAGAACCAACTTTCCTTCATGTTCCACAAGTCCTGCAAAAACTGTATAGCTGGAAAGAATTATACAAGTAATATACCACTACAGTGAGATTACACATCTCTTGCAAAGCTTTAAAGGATTCAGATAGATATTTTATATGTAAAACGTGGAATAACAAAAACGCAGAACTCATTATTCTTACCAGTCTTCTGTCTAGTCTTTGAAAGGCAACTCTCATCTACTTGTATGCACATTATTGCTTATGAATGCATAGCTTTAAAGCATATTTGAAGACTTTCAAAATACGCTCCAAGAAAAACACAACTGATATGTAGCATATGTTTTTTTTTCTGCTTATGTTTCATTCCTTTGCTATATAGTCTACAAATATATAATTGACTTAAATGTTAAAGGGAGCATGCCAGGAAGGAAATAATGAGACTGTCATTGCTGATTTTTTTCCCAACAAGTTTCAAGGCTTCAGTACTTAATGGTACAAAACAAGTATGCATCCAGTAAAGTTGGGACTCCTGAATTGCCTATTTGCTATAGGGAAAAACTAATAAAAGTGGTGAAACAAAAATAAAGATGACAACCTCAAAGCTTTTACCAGCAAGGCAAGACAGCAACAGATGCTCCCACATTTTTGATCTTGGCATATTTCCTTTAAATCACTCCATATGGAATACTGCAAAGAATTATTATCAATCTGAAAATGAGCACGAAAAATGGCAAACTACTTACATTCCTTGACATTTGGAGGTGCCAGCGAGCAAGAGTGACAAACCATGCCATATATGTTTTTAGGACGGCTCTCCAGCATATAGTATCTTGGAAAAGGAAAATCATAATGTAGATAAATATACTTTTTAATACAGTTTCAATGTTGGATACGTATAGCAATCTGCATAGCTGCAAATGTAACTGACTCATAAATCTGAACAAATAAGAGCAGAAAAAATTATTTTATGTCTACATCGCACCTTGGAGAATGTGTGCATTCAAAGTGCATTGTACTTTGGTAAACAGGTTCTGAAAATGTGTTGAAAATGTATTTAAGAGCTGGGGCACATTCTGTATTTGCAAAAAATAATAATTTTCAGGGTCTGTACTTTCCAAAAGAAAATATGGTTTAGATTACCTTAACGCAAGGCATTGCCTTCACAAACAATCCTACACTACTGTAATTTTGTAAGTGAGTTATATGATTCAAGCTGTTATGATGAATCATATAAATTGGACCTGCATTCCAGAAAGAGTGATTGGTGTTATTATAGTGTATTGGTCCCAGTCCGCATCTTTACTTAACTACGTTGTATCAATTCACACTACATGCAATGTTATGACTTCTACCATACATCATCTTACCCTGGAAGGCAGGGACCACATTCTGCATCATTCTTGGAATCTCCAGGAGTTAAAACAGTAGCCCGGAAAAATCCCTCACAGTCCTTATGTCTTCTGCATATTTGGTAGCCACCTTTAGAATACTTGCCAGGAAGACAAGGGATGCAACCATAGTCCTCATCTTTGGTCCCATATCCACAGGCCTAAAGGGAAAACACATTATTTCAGATAAGTTACAGATCACATCACATTAAATATATTATTATTAATTGATTGCTACCGAGGAATATGAAGGGGTTAACCTTGTTTTAGTGTTAGGGAGTTATGCTTATTACAAGGGGCAAACCTAACCATCATTAAGTGTTCAAACTAATGGTTAGAGTAATTTGTCTCAAATTAATAATCAATGTATATATGCTGTTACTGCACTTATATAATAAGCTGAAAGTGAAGGTGCACCTGAAATCCCAATCTTTAGACTGGATGAGTTATTTCCAGCAATTTAAAGAGCACTGTTTTTGCAACTTAGCTCACTGCAAATGTTTTTGGTAGTTTACCGTAATGAGAGACACTGTATGAATTTCTATCTTATTCTTCATGCAGCCAGACCTAACACATATTGTGCATCCTGATACTGGCTGCTCCATGCAGTAATTGTACTTTAAGGTCAGTTGTACTGAGGATTGAACACCAAGGGCCCTTTCCTATACAACTAAAGTAACATGACATACATGATTAATTGTTAATTACCTGTATGTCATTGTTAATTATGCCTAAACAGTACCCTACAAATGTACCTCTCATCTTTAATTCTATTAAAACATAGCAGCATGCGTCCTCATATGTAAATGTGCCTAAGAATTCCTGTGCTTACAGCCTCATAGCTGTATATCTGCAACCTCTGATCCAAGCCATGGTGCCTCAGACTGCTAGTCTAAGGAGATTTGGTTGATATTTCTTCTACTGTTCAATGATCACCTTGCTGGAGACGCTGACATGAGGAAGTAAAGCCCTGCTTCTACCAGGATGGCTGCCTCCATACAGAGATACAGCACAGAACTAGATATGGTAAGTAAAGATAAGATGCAAGGAGATCACCAGTAGTACTGGTGACTAGTCTTTTGCTCTCTGCCTTCCTTCCAGCTTCAACAGTTCAGTTCTTTTTTAGCATTTAGACGACTGCTATATATAAGCCTTCTTCATTGACACTCTTGATACCATTAGTATTTGTCCTATTTACTTACATTGTATGGCTCTTCCCCTGGCTCACACTCTGGACAGCAATGGCACAACCCAGTTGTCTGATTATAATATTCATTTTCACCACAGTTGGAATACTCTGCTACAGCTGAATACACCAAAGACACCTGCAAAATTAGATCAGAGCACAAAACAGAACTTCACTACAATTCATTTATGTAACGTGTTGATTTATTGACAATAATATGCCGTTTCATTTCATTCATTTCTTCTTTTTATTGGTATATATAAACATTTTCAGCTAACTAGGATAAGACTGCTGGACACTATTATATTATTGCCTGAAAGGCAGAGGTTGCCAGGGCAGACAGTCTTTCCAGGGAACAGAAATATTTAAGTGCAAAAGTTTTTCAGAATTCATGGCTATTTTCTTGTCAGTATAATATAAGTGTTGCTAATACAAATAGAGAAAGAATATACTCACCATTATAAAGGGGAATATGTGGTTCCATTTACTATCGCTTTGTTTGTTCATATTCATCCTACTGTGTCTCCCACCTATAAAAGAAGGCACATTGTACTCTGAATAATGTAGTTTCTTTACTGTACATTTTACCTAACTAGACAATGAAAACACCCTGCAATATTGGTGACAGGCATACTTGAAGAAAAACTCTGCCAAAATTATGAATTTGTTCTGCACACTAATTTGGCAGACTGTGTGTACATACTGTATATATATACACACTTGAAATCCTAGGTTTTACATCCAGAATTTTTAAGATCAACAAACAATATTTTATGTTTCTAATCTCTACTACTGTCTGGCATAATATGACCTAGCTGGAAACAGAGGAAGCAGAAAGTTACACGTATTATAAAATGAATGAATGGTTCAGAATCTAACCAATAACAGTAAGCAGATTTTCCATTCCTGGTTGTTTTTTAAAATCTACAAGTAAGATTAATAATTTTGGAAACAAGATTTATTTAAAGTATCACACCACCCAAAATGCTGTATTTCAGTATCTTGTAGATGCTGGAGAGCTAAATCACACTGTGATTCTTGCATCTCACAGGGACCCGGGGATATGTTCGCAGTTATGCATTTTTGCTGCAGCCATACAAGCAAAGCTTACTTTCCCTGTTGGATTTTTATATATTTCAAATTATGGAAAAGGTAAGGTGGAGTAAAGTCAAGAGCTATGACAGGAAAATCAATGGAATCCCCAGTAGATAGATGTATCCAATGAGTAACCTCACAGTGAAATAACATGTTTGGGAAGACCAGTCATTTAAAATTAAATAAAGGTTGCAGGGAATAAGTACAATCTACCTGAACAGTCTGCAGTAGCTCTGGTACTCTGTAAAGTAGCTGAACTTCAAAGAGGAACTTTAGCCCCTTCTTACCTTTTTTTTGCTGGATTAACCTCCATAAACATATCTTCACATGCTCAGTGAATCCAGCTTGGTTCTGCTGAGATCCACTGCTGCATACCAGGCCACACATTGCCATATTCTCTTCTGACACATCGGGAACAGACTGTATCTTCCTGTTTCTTACAGTCACCCCCTGAAGATATGCTACTGAACCCGTCCTCCAGCGCTGCCTGATGCCTCCTGGGATATGTGATATAGATATCCCAGGAGGTTTCAAGAGCATGGTTACATCATTCTTGCCTAGTCAAGAATGAAGGTAGGAGGCAGTCTGGACTAGAAGTAAAGAAAAACAGTTAAACACCCCCCCCCCCCAAAAAAAAAAAAAAACTCCTGCTTTTTAAACTTCAAACGTGGTGGAATACAGTAGTGAAGATTTTGCAGTAAAAGTCCAGTTTAGGGTTATCAAATTTGAGCCTCACTCACTCAATACTGGAGCTTCCAGTTATTGGTAGATATGCAGTTCACAATCTGCCTGGAGGGGCAAGCCCACACATCTAACACCAGATTATATATCAGGGAACAAGGATTAGACAAGGTTTTACAGCCTGTCCAATTGATTTTATTACTTATATTGAGTTAGGTAGGGATTAATTTACCAAAGATATAAGATGGTAAAATACTGACCGACCAGAAGTGAGTAGTTATCCTCTTAGTCAACATGGATGAGTATTCTGACTCTAGGTTAGTGTAACCCTGGGAACACAGCAACTCCAAACCAGAGGATTGGACTTCATGGATGACCTAGCACAGCAAAACCAGGGGAATTTTGGTATAGCAGTACAGCATCTTCAAGTGCTAATGTATGATGCTTTACAATGATGGAAAATTCAATGTACAAACTCTGAAAAGCTTTATCAGTAGATGTGTTGTTGACCTCACACTCTTCACTTGTAAATAGAAATATCCAGGGACAATCTGAATTTCAGTTTGACTCAATGTTTACTCTTTTTTTTAAATTAAGCTTTTGATACAAAATTGCAAGACAAGGCCAAGCATTGCTGAAAACGAATTAATCCTAAAATTAACACATAGGCCCAACCAACCCATATTTCTGTACAAGTAGATTGTAAGAAAAATAGAGCATTTGTCCCAGATAAGCCTACAAGGTAACAAAAAATAAGACCTAGCACCTAAGGCCCAGCTTAAAACAATGAAAATCAGAGTCACACTCAGAATACAAAATGTTATGTGAGTACAAAATCACATACAGAAATTAATCCAAGAGAGGTTTCTCATAGGGATATATTTTTGCATTTAAACATCCCCATTGGTTTATGTTTCCGAGTGTCTCAGAATTCAAATCAGCTTACATGTAAGCTCCAGTTTTCCTTCAACTGACACTGAAATAATAGAAGATTACTTCTAAATGTATAGTGTTTCCTTTCTATTCTCCTCACAGCTATTGTGCTAGTTAAGACAAGTCTCAGAAGGGCAAATTGTTCCATAAGTCAATTTGCTCTGAAGAAATGACCCTTGGCTCAACAAAGGGAGAGAGGAACCAGTTTAGTTCTTCCTTTTTAATCTACAATTCATGTTCTGTCATTTCAACAGTCTTACAGCATTCCCCTTCTGAAAATGTAAAATGCACTTTAGCACAAACTGCAAAGTGTTTAGTTTGGCTGATGCCTGTACACTCCCACAGCAGTTTGGTTTTCAAAGATGTTTAATTAGCACACACTTTTAACCCTTGGACTGCAGATACAAGAGAACAAATTAATGTAAACTACTGTATATTCAACAGTCATCTCTCAGAAAGTCACAGGAATTGGTATTAAAAAAAATGAGAGTATACTTTTCAGACTTGGATGCAGCTGACCCATTTTCTAAAAGCTTTAGTTATCAGTGATGATAACTACATTTGGACATGTAGATTGTAAGAGAAATAGAGCATGTCAAGCCTATCTGCTGTGCAATGTCTTGTCCAACTGGCATTCACATAAAGCTGTTCATTTGGACCCTGCTAACTCCCTGATTTTTAGCTTCAGTCTACACTAAAACTGCCCTTAACAACGATTTAAGCTACCTCCTGAGTGCAAAATCCAAAGATCACTTCACCGTGCTCTTTCTTCTCAATCTATCCTAGAACTGCTGACCATTGTTTACTACTACAGTCCTTTTTTTTCCATCACCTCTGTTTGTTGGTGTATTATAAAGTAGTGTTCTAGGATCTCTTTTCTTTTCCATTTAGAAACATGGTCTCAAAGCCACCCAAACCATAATATAAGTGTTTCATTTGTCCTGGACCCACCAGGTTAGGGGAAGGGCAATCAAAGTCCCAGATTGCAATGGCATAACCCTCTAAGCTTTTCATAAGCCCTCCTGCACATCACTGTAATTGGCACAGCACGACCCTTTACATAGTAACATAGGCAGAGTTTAAGGGGAAACATCTCTGATAACTCCTGCTGCTCATCACTGTGATCAGTGCATTGGAACACATTCTTTTAAACTCCTTCCCTTAATAATTTAACAGAAAGGATCCCATTGCTCAAACTATAGTGACAGAAAGTGGGAATTATGAGAGGCATGACACAATATGCCCTTGGAATCTGTTACACTAGGGAAGGTCTGGTAGTGGGGCTGAGCTGATTACTTCATTTGGTTTTAGATATTGCTTCTATGCAAATAATACTCAAATTAATTTATCTGTCAGTGATCTAGTAAATGGCATCCTCTACTTTCATGCCTGTCCACTAAGCATTGCTCACATTCAAAATGTATATAACATAATCCCATTGGAACTGTAGAAAGAAACGACAACTGTTTCTTCAAATAAACTGTGCAAGTCAGAAAAGGCATATAAGGGATTGATTTTCCAAAACTGGTGCAAGATGAAGAACATTTACCCTTAGGAAACAGTGGTGTTGATTTTACTAAAACTGGAGAGTGCAAAAACTGGTGCAGCTGTGCATGGTGGCCAATCAGCTTCTAACTTCTGCTTGTTCAATTAAGCTTTGACAAAAAAAAAAAACCTGGAAGCTGATTGGTTTCTATGCAGAGCTGCACCGAATTTTGCACTCTCCAGATTAAGTAAATCAACCTCAGTGTGTCAGTTATGTGCTTTCGTGTTGTTACTGGTTTCATTAGCACATTTAAAAAAAAAATACTCTTTGTTCTGTGTTATTTTAAGTAAGACCTTCATTATATATAACTATTTCCTTTCACAACTACTTTAAAAGACCTAAAGCAATTTGGGTCTAAGATCAAAATGTTATTAAATATAGTATGTTTGGTATACCTATTGTGATACAGTATGGATTGGATGTATTCCCAGTTTATGTAGAACATTTCTAGAAGTATATCTCTTGATGTGGAAATAAACCCTTATACATATGTTTTCTGTTAGGGTATGCAGTATGGCCATTTTAAAAGGAATTTATCAGGTGAAAAATATAGAATCTTCCTTTGCTAATTTGTTTATAAACTGACCTTCTCTGAGGTTGTCACTCTTATTCTTGATTCACTCTTTAGTGAATCACACATGTGGAACAAGCATGTGCATTCCCGACAAGATAAGATACATGATAAGTTCATGGTTGTGCTAGTAAAGTGACCAGCATTAGTATCCTGGAACTTCTGAAAAACAATGGCAGCTTAAATATTTTTACCTGACAGGTTATTTTTAAGCAGTACTGATTTTCTACAATAGAAGTAGGTGAACGTAATTGATAGCTGAAAAATATTTGTAACTGAACATCGAATGTTGGTTCTACCTTGTTTTGCACTGAAAAATCAAAACAGGAAGCTGTGGAGTAAAGAGGACACCTCCAGGACATACATTTAACAACAGAAATGCATGAATATGACTTCGGAGCTAAGTGCAGACCGTACTTCTGGCAGCAGTAGCCCTACCAATACTCATATAAACCATTCTCATAATTTTTCCCTTATCCTCTATAAAAAAATATGTGGTTTACAAAATGGGCAGCTTAGTACATTCATTGAGTAAGAGTGGAACCCAACTTGGTCTTCTGTGGCTGCAGAGGTTCCTTCAATCACACTTCTTTCATAAGGAATGGTTCCTTGAACAGCTGTGAAATTATTGGCCACGTCTGGGTACTCTTGAGATGTTTTATTGTTTTCATCATTCTCTGTAAATCCTAGAAGATTAGCAATTTATGATATGCTGCAAAAACCAGGTATGGGTCCAATAATCATTCTGTAGTCAAAGTTGCCTATTGCTTTCATTTCCCTTTTTTAATGTTTGGCTGAGCAACAAACAAACCTCTTGACCATGTCTGCTTGATTCATGTACTGAGGTGCACCCACATTATTGGCTGTTTGCATTAACGGGTTACTTTATGTCTTTCAAACACCATGCAACTGTTCTATCTGAAACATTAAAAAATTTTAGTGTGTAATATTAACAGGTAATTTTGTTGGATTTTACATACCTTGTATTGCGGAGCTATTTAAAAAAGAAGTCTGCATAAATATCAGGGACTTCAGCAAAATTTCCGAATGACAGGGTGTGTGTTTATATAGGGAACCTTATAGGTTTTACCTTTAAACACATCTGCATGAGTGTTATCCTATACCGTATGCAAGCATTAAATTAAAGTAGTGAACATAGGTGTTTAGAAAGATTAGAGATTGCTTTTAAAGTATAGCTAAACCCAATCACTAAAATCTAATATAAGGTTTAACATGTTACTATAATTTCAAAAGTGGTTTTCAGTATTTTTAAATTTGCAACTTCCATTAATATAATAACAAGGAATGAAGATAAAGTTTCAGGCAATTCCTGTTATGGGGTGACAACTGAATTCTAGTTGTGCTCCTGTGTAGTCACTCTGTCAGACATGCTCCTGATAAAGACTACAAGCAGCTGTTTGCCATTACATATTGCACAGGCAAGGTCTATTTTTTTGACCATCAGGAAATCTGTTATCAGTTATGGCATGCAGCCATCACTGAAGTGAATGCATGTAGACTGAAATGGCTGCAAAAGAGCCTAGAGAAAATCAGAAACACTGGATAAAAGGCATGAATAAAGGTAAAAAAGGTATAAGCAGTAAAATAAATAAATAGGCAATTGTTAACACAGTGCTTAGCAAACTAAACCCATTTAGGTTTCAGACTACTCTAAAATGTATCCACAGAGTCAAAACTGATAGACATACAGGGGGTTATTTACGAAAACTGGAGAGTGCAAAATTGCTGCATCTCTGCATACTGTGGTAACCAATCAGCGTCCAGGTTTTATTCCCAATGCTTAAAGCAGTAGCAAACCACAAAAAAAAAAAATTCCCCTGCCAATTAATAGCATAATGTGTCTGTGACTTACCTGAAAACAAAGCCCTCCAGCACTGCACTCTCACAGCTGTAGGTGCTACCGTTTTCACCTGGTCTTCCTTCTGGGTTTGTGGGCTTCGGCTGTTTGACTGGCCGAGCTGCGATGACGTCACTTCTGTGCATGCACATGGGAGTCATGGCCATGGCACGGCTCTCTCAATGGATGGCAAGCCGTGCATTAAGAGTGCAGTGCGCAAGCGCCTGTGATGTCAATGGCTGCTACTATAGTAAATACCTCTTAAAGGGTGCACGTTTAGGAGTTATTTATTGTACCTGCCTTATTTTAGGCATACCTGTAGGTACAAGTAAACAATGGGGCTTTACTACCACTTTAGTTGAACAAGCTGAAATTAGAAGCTGATTGGCTAGCATGCACAGCTGCACCAGATTCTGAGTGCACCAGTTTAAGAAAATCTTCCCCAAAGTACCTGGAGAAAGAAGAAGAGATATACTTACTTTTCTGGTGGCCCGTGTGTTGAAAAATCACTGCTTCCCCTCACTCTGGCCTCTGCATGTGTTTAACTATTCCAGGTGTGTAGAATACCTAGTCCATGCTGCACACTGAGGTTCCTCTTGCCAAATTGTTCATCTCTACAGGGCATATGAGGTGGCAGGAGAAACCACAGCATGAGGTGGGGGATCAGGTAATTTACACCCACGTAATACCTGTGGCAGCCAGCGATTTCCAACACAGGAGCATGTAACACACAGGCCATGAAAAGGTACACAGTATATTGCCTCTTATTTCTCCAGGTATGTTTTTTTTCACCCTTGAACCTGCAATGAGAAGGTCACGTTAAGTCCTAAACCACAGTTTGCTGCATACAATGACTTTCCTATTCAGGTACTGTTGTTGCCTCTTCCACCCCTCCACACACATAAGGACTGGATCGAATGCGTATACACTTACCATCTTCTGCCTCTGGACTAGGTTTAGAAAGCTGGAGGGTTTGTTTTTTCAATTCAAATGGCAGGAGGTTTCAAAGATGGTGCAGTGAGACTCCATGGGGTTTATTTACTAAAGCTGGAGAGTCCAAAATCAGACTCCCTTCTGCATAGAAACCAATCAGCTTCTAACCTCAGCTTGTTCAATGAAGCTTTGGCAATGAAACCTGGAAGCTGATTGGTTTCTATGCAGAAGTGAGTCTGATTTTGGACTCTCCAGCTTTAGTAAATAAACCCCCATGTGTCCACCCCAACCACTTCCTTCAATCGAATATTGAGTATACAAGGGAAGTAATTTGCTATAGAGATGTACGTTTTGATACAAAATCATAGAGGAACAATTCAGTGAATGTTAATTTCTGTAGATAGATTGCCCATATATTTTATTAGTGCATTATCACCCTGGATAAACCTTTGGTTTTAAAACATCTGTTATACCATCATAATGTCTTATGGAGAACCAAGTATCCATTAATTCATCTACTTATCCTAAAAGGGTTGGAAACAGACTAAGCAATCTAGCCTAAACATTCTCATGCTTGCCATCTGGAATCTGGCTATTCCTGATGAGCTTTAAGAAGTTTCCATGGGCTCTTTTTCAATGGGCTTTGCTGAGCTGAATATGCCTGAAACATTACCAATTGCTATTTTGCTCTTTTAGTCACCAGCCATGGCTTATAAAAATGTATATGTTTGCCATTTTGTGATATAGCATAGCAGACCGTTTACCAAGCATAACTCAAAATGATCCTAAAATAAATAAGGAATAGAAAGAATAAGCAAAATAGATTTATAAAAAGTCTGATTAGGACAAATGAACGTGTGTTTGTCAATGATCAGCATGGTACCAAGATCACTGACATTTTAACTGTTGAGGAAGGATAAACAGAACCCTATTCATATGCACCCACCTTTGTGCCTTGGGTTACATTCTCATCTTGAGATTTCATAGAAAAGTCAAGAACAACAGAGATCAGAGGAAATACATTGAAAGTAAATTGACTTGGCAGAGGAGTGGCATTGGGAATATTTACTTCAACTGCTCCGAATAATACTTGCTGTCACCTGAGGTAATTCTTCAATAAATAATATTACAATGTACTACTGAAACTTGATACTCATGATGTCTACAGGATTTATTCTTATATAAATAATATGATATATAGATCTGGTAGCAGGGCATTTTAGAATTCATGCATGCCTATTAAAATGCATGAAACTGTAAGAAGCCCTTCACAGTTCTGATATTCAGGGCAGAGACTTTACCACATTTATAAACAGTATTTATTGTTATGTTTAATTATTGACATCTGATTTTCTAGATTTTTAATGTAACCATTGTGCCCAAAAGGAAATGTCTACATTTTTCTAACTGCTATGGCGTTGCTATAGACATAACTGAATACATTTTTTCTACAGCAACTTATGGGATTTCTGCATAGACACCTTATCTCTTTTGTCTACAATTCTCCCATATCAGCAAGTATTACTTTCCACTGGGCACAGAAACCTGTAAAAGCAGATGTTTTAATATATATTGTGTAGTTTTTTTATATGTTTAAACTCTGGAACAAAGAGCAATCATAACATCAATATTTTTATGATCAAATTAGGTATGCTTTATTATCCAACTAAAATACTCCACTTTCTGACACTTTTTAGAAAACAAGCAATAAAACATTTAGGAAGGAAAGACTGAGAACATTGTACCCTAAGATACCATAAATTATATATGTGCCCCATGATATCCATAGCAGTAATAAAGATACTGTAAATCTCTTAACAGCTCTGATGTAGTGTACACATATTATATATTATGCATATAAGATAGACTGCTCTAACATTGTTAATGTAAATCATGCTGTGTACACATACTGTATACTGTGTAAGTAAAGAAGCAGACATTGTCTGATTTGCAGAATAATTGCTTCCGGCAATAACAAGATAGATTATCATTCTGCCTCTGATACGAGAACAGAATTCTACTTGTCAGATAATTTTTTTGTGGCGCCTTCTTTTCTACACTCTCCTGGCAGCTATACATACATAATATTACCATACCTTACATTTGTATAATATTTTAATAGGATTCTATACAAAATATTATGCTTAAGTTCTAAAGTTCAAATACCTTTAACTACATCTTGTGTAATAAGGCATAGAACATTGTGCAAAATGACAGTAACCCCAAGTAACCAATCATCACTCATCTTTAGGTAAGACTGAGCTAAACTAATACAAGAAGACACTTGCTCTGTTGTTAAGAGTTACTGCTTTTTATGCATCAACTTTTTCCTTTACATTGTCTTCTATATGTTTCTTCTTATATATATGTTTCTATATTTTACATGTAAACAGGTAATGTTGCTAATTCTGTATATCTGCCATGTATACACAATATATGCTGATATTAAATAAAATATTGTACAGTTCAAAATACTCACACAAGCACTTTAAAGAAAGACGGCAGAGTTCCAGGGTAGTCGCCAATGTAGGCATTTATCCAGGCAAGGCAATTGTTTTTTTGGGGTTTGATCATAAACTTTTTTTCCCTTTTATCCTCTCAGCTTACTGGTGAGGTGAGGGATCTGGCAGCCCTGCCTCTTTTCCACCCACATAAACAGTTAGCAATGAAATACACAAAGGTCTTTGACAAACTGTTACTTAATTGGAACCTGCAATTAATCTAGTGTTTAGGAAACCATATGTCCTTAATGTCTTACACTGTAGGTAACCATTGCCCTAGGGCGAGAAGCTGGCATGGTGGCAAAATCATTGCTACCTGCAGAGATTTAATGCGTGGACTGTATATTTTAATGTGTGCACATTATTATATCTTTTATCTTCGGTATCAGACAAAAATATACATTGGTCAAGAAAGTAGCTGTCATCATTACAGGCAAATCAGTAACTAAAGACCAGTTTAAATACTCACACTGCACTGTGTCACAGGATAGCATCCAAACGCTAGATGTTGTGATGAGAGAGATGAGGAGGTGAACAATATCCTTAGCACTTTATTAGAGTAAACACAGAAAACGAGCCTGAAACTTTCCACTTATAGCCAGACTCTGACTGTCATAACTCAAATAAACTTCTACTTCCAGCCAATCAATTCCTAGCACCATAGAAAAGCCAAACGGTCAAAGGAGGTATTGGAAGTCTTTAACTTAGGTCATATATGACAACAGAAAACACTTCACTAGGAAATGCTAATTGTTAAAGATGGGGGCATTAGTGATTTAGAAGCAACAGATAACCAGATGAAGAATGTCTGCCTCCAAAAAAAAAAGGTGGAAAGCTAACACAATTCTAATAATACCAGTGCCCAGTACATTATTCCAAAATCTTCCATACACCAAGTAAAGAAAGTTTTTGTGCATACAATAAACATATGGGGAATACAAAATATGCATTTAAAATATTTTAAAAATAGACTAATCAGTTGAAGATGAGTTACTGTGAGTACACATAATGAAGTCTATATAAAGCTTTATTTTTTTCTCATTTTCACTCTTTGTGTCTTGTTCTCTCACCTTTGTTCCCCTCTCTTTCCCTACTTCTTATTCTTCCATTGCTTCTCTCTGTTACTCTCATGTTATTTTTCTTGTTTATCTGATTCTCTTTCTATCAACCTCTCTCTGTTTCATTCTCTCCGTCTCTTCTTTTTTTCTCTCTCTCATCCTCTGTTTCTTTGGCTTTCTCTCTTCCTCTCTCTATTCTCTCTATCTATACCTCCTTTCCTTTATGCTTGTGTCTATTTGTCTGTTTTCTTTCTCCCTTCTTCTTGTTTGCTGTGCCCATTCACACTCAGCACTTGGTGTATGCAGGATCACCATTGGAAATCATGGGGGCCCGTAGAGCCTTCCTGACTTCCCTTCCCAGTTGGTGGTCTTGTAAGAGACACCAGAAGTGCAATGGCAGTCCAAGGTCCACCAAAAATTAGATGTGGGGGACCAAACATATACGATCAACATATCAAGAAGTTTGATAGTGAAGTAAGTGCACCAGGTTGGCCATAATTCCATATAAGTCACATTCTCAGGGAAGAATGCATCTGGAAAGAAAAGGTGGTATAAGATATAGGCTGCTTGGCTGGTCATCTTCTCAATAACTTTACAACATACACATTCCAGAATCACCTACCTGGCCACAGGGAGTGTTATTGGAGAGGAATGGTAGGAGGGCATCTTCTGGGAGCCTACGGCTCACCATCCTATTGGGATAAAGTGCTGTGCAGGAGTGTAGGAATGGCTGGGAGTGTGCAGGTAGTGCAATGGATCTGTACAGCTGGGGTCCTAAAACTAGGTGCCGCCTGGCAAGCTCTCTTCTCTCCTCCACCAGTGCCTGACTGCTGAACGCTGGAGTGAGGGCCACAGGAGCACAGCCTGAACTGGATGGGAGGACTATAGAGCAGAAGCGAGGGAGGGGCGAGTTGGAGACAGAGAGGAAGACTGTGTCATTTTAACATGTGGACACACAGGAGGCATGATTGCATTACTATACGACCTGTCACTTCCCAGGGCACACGCAAACTAAATCTTAAATGAATGTGGCTATGGTCCCGCAGTTCACTAAGTGTAACATGCAATTACAATGTTTAACAATCAGATATCCTGGAACTGCAGCCAGTCAGGATAACCTGATACTGTCATGTGACAATGTCAAAACTTTGCTGATTGGCTGCAGGTTCAAAGTGTCTAGGTAATGGTTGTGTTTACACATTACACTGTGGCTGTTTCATTCATTTAAGCTGTAATTTCTCACAGAAAGTGCTGAGTGTTCCGCCAATGCGCAGCTAGGCAGGAGAGAGGCTACAGCCCATTGGATGAGAACTACTACTTTAAGTAAAAAAAGAAGAAGCAACTTTTATGACCAAAATGTCAATGACAGAGATCTATAAATTAAAAAGTCTAATTGTATATACAGTCAAAAACTTCCAAAAAATCCATCATTTTTGAAGTGATACCAGAACATGAGGTGAGGGGAAATCTTTTAATAGGAACAAGAGTTTTTTTCTGTATGTAAAGCAAGCTAATTTTAAAAGAAAAAAAAAAACAATTCCACAGCCAAAAAATGTGCTGCCAGTATATGCTATGATAGAGACTTTTTTGGATTGGTATAAATCCTGCAGCAGTGCCCGGCTCCCGATGCACTTTTATGACAATAGCTTGTCTATTTGCCTTGAAAACGAACAAAATATATTATCAATGTTTGCCCTCTATAGACTTCAGTGGGGTTGTCCACTAAGTTAGGATTTTGAGGTCTTCACAACAAACCCTTGAATCAAACCATGGCAGTTCCACTTATCCCTAAATTCAAGCAACCACAGAAAAAACATGCAAATCCCAATGCAAATGGTGTACCTGGTGAGAATTAAACACAGTACCATAAGGAAATGGTGTTGATTGCTTTGACTCAGTAGAAGAGAACAAACAAGCAGATTGTACCACTGTCTTTTCCCAGCATTTGTAGGGATTACTCAGAAACACAGGAACTAATTGAACCCAAGAGGTGTTACTACAAAGAACAGTAAATAATTACTTCAATAATGAGCGCCTTGGTTAGTTTAACTTAGCTTAAAAAAAAGTTGTGTTTAGTATTTTTTTTAGCACTTAAAAGCTGAAAAATGGACAGACAACAGAGTCATAATTTTGCTAATACACATCAAAATGAGCAATTCCAAAGAAGATCTCAAAAGATAACAATGCATTTAAAATCATTGTAGAATATAAATACAGATTGGTGTATAGCTCAAAGCTTTAAAGAATAATTCCAGGTATAGACCAATTTAACTATGCAAAAATATCCATACCTGGAATTCCACTTTAACTCCATGGTCAACCAAGGTTGAAGACCAGTTTATATCTCCAAGGAGCAGGGCCCTCGAATCCCTCGTTTATTGTATTGTATTGTTACTGTACTGTCTCCCATTATAATGTACAGCGCTGAGCAAACCGTTGGCACTATTTAAATACTGTATAATAATAATAATATCTGCCCATACTTATACCAAGCCCAAATACCTAACTTGTTCCCTACTGCATACTTTGCTGATAATGTATAAATATATGTTTGTATATACAGTATAATGGAAGATAGAAATGGATAATGTTCTCATTGATAAAAGACTTTCAATCATTGATAAGAAGTGACATCCTGTTACCCAGTTATAAGTCTTAACAAATCACAGGAATACACCAAATAGCAGGATAACAGGATGCACTGAATTTATGTTTATAGTAGCCTCAAGAGGTGAACAAAATGTGATATCAGAACAGTTTTTACGGATGTGGTATTGCCATATCAAGGAATAAAGAGCTCTGTGTCAATTACCCACCCACTGAAATGAGTCATTATTCTTTGCTCTTTCATTCAATGCTAATGTGAAGATTAGCATTAGAATCCAGGTGGGCATGTCTGGAAATGTTCTAACTGTAAACGTATAACGTAAAGAGGGAATTTTACCAACCCACTCTAACTGAGGTAGATATCTACTACAATGTGCCATTAATACAAAAGAGAAAATTATTTCCTAAAGAACACAGTTCTTATATTATTCTAATAACTGAAATATATCTGTAAATTAATGTGTTATTTGTTTTTTATGTTTATCAAATGAACAAAGCAGATTGTTTTCAACCCTTCACAACAGCTGAACTTAGAGCTTGACCTAAAATGACACTAACATAACTCAAAGAGTTTTCTCAATTTTCAAAGAGTATCTCCACTTTTGTTTAGAAAAAAAAGCATTCCCCTCTGAGTGACCAATGTACACTAACCGGCCACTTTATTATGTACACTGGTTCAATTTCTTGGTAACACAAATCGCTAATCATCCAATCACATGGCAGCAACTCAATGCATTTAGGCATCTATACATGGTGAAGATCAAACCGAGCATCAGAATGGAAAGAAAGAGGATTTAAGTGACTTTGAACATGGCATGGTTGTTGGTGCCAGATGGGCTGGTTGAGTATTTCAAAAATTGCTGATCTATTGGGATTTTCACACACAACCATCTCTAGGGTTTACAGAGAATGGTCCGAAAAAAGGGAAAATATCCAGTAAGCAGCAGTTGTGTGGATCCATCCTGCCTTGTATGAGCGGTTCAGGCTGGTGGTGGTGGTTTAACAGTTGGGGGGGGATATTTTCTTGGCACTAGCAAGTTGTACCTAATAAAGTGGCTGGTGAGTGTACATTGCAAGGATTTTTTATCAAACTTTGTTGCAGATTACTACCTTTTGTTAAGAAGTAATAGCTGTTTGTTTGTCTGTGTCCATGTGCAGAGTGAATCTGTATGGGAGTGGCTTTATAATTATCAGTCAGCTGCTGCACTTGCAGGGTTCTAATAAGAAAAGTTGCTGGGCCTGCATCCTTTTAAACATGATTTCGCTTTAGGAGTATCTTACCAAAAAGTTTTTTGCAGGGGATGCCAAAAATCTGAAAATTACTGAAATTACTGAAAATCAGTAAGTCAATCATCACACAATCAGGAAACTACATTTTCTGGGGAGCGTTCTGTACTCCATCTGTGTACAGAACACTTCCAGGTTGCCATATTGCAATGTCCAATCACAGCTGATCACATGTAAATAGGGAAATGCCGGTTATCGGCATTTCTCTCCTCACGAGCGGTCACGATGACAGCTCAAGAGGAGAGCCGGTAATCAGCATTCCTCGGAGGGGACATGTACACTGATCATCAGAGACTAATGATCAGTGTGCCCTGATGATCAGTGTAGCCCTAGCAGTACCACCTGTCAGTGCCTATCAATGCCAGCTGTCATTGCCCATCAATGCCACCTACCAGTGCCCATCAGTAAAAACTACTAAGGCTACCCAGTTCAACTTGTAAGCCAGCCCCAGTCTAACAATGGCTATAACACAAGGAACATGGATAGGTATAACTTATCAAAGATGGGGATAAGAAAGCCAGTTCAATTTGCCAGCCAACAACCAAATTAACCTGTTCTAACAATATGCGTTTAAAAACAGGGGTTTTAGTTAGCACACATTTGCAAATACATACATAAGCCGCAGAGCCACATAACGGCACCCCGACATTCTGTGGTCCTAACTCTACAAAATTCGGAGCCCTCATAGTAGAGGCACATGTATTTAATGGATAGATCATTTTGCACAGTGCCCATCAGTGCCTCATCAATGCCACATATCAGTGCCTACCAGTGCACATCAATGCCACATATTAGTGCCCATCTGAGCTGCCTTTCAATGTCACCTATCAGTGCCAGTCAGTGCCACCTATCAATGTGTCAGTCAGTGCCACCTATCAGTGCTGCCAATCAGTGCCAGTACAGTGCCAGTCAGTGCCGCCTAACAGTAGTCAGTGCCGCCTATCAGTGCCACCTATCAGTGCTGCCCTATCAGTGCCATATATGAGTGCTGCCTTTCAGTGCCCATCAGTGATGCCTGTCAATGCCCATCAGTGCCACCTCCTAGTGCCTCCTCATCAGTGCCCATCAGTGTCACCTATCAGTGTCCACCACTGTAGCCTCATTACTGCACATCAGTGAAGGAGAAAAATCACTTATTTACAAAATTTTATAACAAAAACTAAGAAAAAACGTTTTTTTTTTCAAAATTTTCTGTTGTTTTTGGTTTGTTTAGCAAAAAATAAAAAATCCAGAGGTGATAAAATACCACCACAAGAAAGCTCTACCTGTCTCAAAAAAATGATAAAAATGTCATATGGGTACAGTGTTGCATGACCGCGCAATTGTCATTCAAAGTGTGACAGCGCTGAAAGCTGAAAACTGGCCTGGGCAGGAAGGGGGTATAAGTGCCCTGTAGGCAAGTGGTTAAAGCAACCTTTTCAAGCTGAAATGCAGGTCCAGGCAATATAATTTAATAACCCTATAGATTATTATAACTCTTTCATAATCACCTCTCTGGTGAACTGTTTCTCCTACCTTCCCTCTCTTCTAGCGAACCTTCCCTCCTCCTGCCCTTCCTCCTCCCTCTTCTACAGTCAACACTTCTGGCTTTGATAGATGCACTTGTTCACCATTGCACTGCTTGGTCCAATCCTCCGACCTTTGTGGTATTCCTGGACAGAGTAATGACAAATGGGTCAGAGGACAGAACCATAGCATTTGGTGGGGACACAGGCATCTGAAACCTGACGAATACTGAACCGACTAAAGGATGCTGCAGCTCTGGAACAAGGCAAAGGATGCAAGGGCCATTGAAGAGACAAGCAAAAGGCTTCCTTCACACTGTTAGCCTGTCATTAGCTTATATAGGCTGAGCGGCCACCGCTATTTACATGCACCTGTGATAAGAGCCACAAGAATCTGCTGATTCTTGCTGCTGGAATCTGGTGTATGCCTCTAAACAACCATGTGAACAAAGCCTTAAGAGTTCTTTTACAGTAAGGACCATCCGTTACAATTGCTTATAACCAGGCAGGGTTATGTTCGGAGGCTGCTAGGAAGCATGGAGGCTGCAATTTCTGTTCTTCCTTTGAAACTGCTAGTTGCTTGGCTGTTAATTAGATCCTTTAATCTGAGTACTTTGCTTGTAGGGAACAATTTTTTTAACTGCATACTGTCTAGTTGTGCTTATCACCACAATATTGCTGTATCACTAGGAAATCTATGCCATGAATGAATGGGCACATTTTTGGAGATAGATATATATATATATATATGTAAAGGCATTTTCAAATACAAAGACATTATCAAATAAATATATGACATTGAGAAAAAAATAGACACAAGGGAGTGAAAGCGAAGAAATGAAGAAGTGAAGATAAACAGCTGGTTGGATCCCAAAAGGCTGCTAACATCAGCAAGGTACCATTAAACCTACCCTACATGGATTTGGTATGGTTATGAAATAGTCAAGAACCCAAGTGAGCTCTCCTCCTTTGTATAAACAGTTTAGATTTTGTCTAGTTTTAGACTTTATGAACACCTTTAATTTTATTGCTCCCTAACTCTGTCAATCCATGGACATTCTATGAGTACCTGGCCTTCATAATATGTGAATGGGCAAGTTATATTAAGAGCCCTGATGAAGTCACGTGATATTGTGACGTAACGCGTCGGCGTAAGCGCGGTGGTATTTCCGGCGTGGCGGCCATCTTGGTACACCTGTTATTCAGCTGTACACCCAACAACACAGATTTATCCTCATCTGAGAGCATGAGGGTCTCATGTGGACTGGCTGCTATGTAAGTGGAATTTTCTACCTACAAGTTTATGTTCCTATGTTCCTATGGTATAAATAAATATACTACACTATGGGAGGATTCCTCTTTTTGTTCTGAGGGATTGATGTTTCACCTATACCTGGAGAAGAGCTTGAGTGGGATTATTGAAATTTGAAAAGCGTTTCTGGAAGGCTGTGGTGCCTGGAGGATCTGTGAGAGGGATCCATTATTGCTCTTTGATCCGCAAGGGTCGAAGGGATGAGGTGAGAGGCTAATCCAGAAGGTGGTTGGATTCACAAGCTCTATCTACACTCAGATACCTGCACGATTTGGTTCACCTGTGGTCACTTTGCAGTATTATTGGAAACACCGTTATCATTTTTGTTCACCTTCAACATTTTTATTGGACTTTCTGTGCGTTTAATAAGCAATTATTTCACTTCACATTTTTTTATTTCACCTTCAACATTTATAGATTTGTTTTTCTGTGCGTTTAATAAGCCATTATTTCACTTCACATTTGCACGTGTGATATAACTATATGTATGTGTAATTTATGCACATGCGTATAGATTTAAGTTTGTATTTTTATAATTTTTGGGGTGTTTGATGTGATAATTTTTGTTATCATTAAGCACTTATATATGTGATAGTGCTTATATATGTGATAGATGTGATAATTTTTGTTATCATTAAGCACTTATATATTTATTTACATAATATTGTCACTATATTGATTTATATTATCGGATTCCACATTCACTTTAATTTTGAATGTAGCGCAGCATTTATATGGTTTATATTCACTTGATCACTGGTATATGATTTAATGCTAGCAGCTGTTTGGGGTTCATATATTTAATTTGTATTATTTAAAACACTATATTTGGAGCGCAGGAGGGTCACACCACTATTGCTAAGTTATATTAAGCAGTGACACCCCTGGAGAAATCTATGATTGCCAATTCAGTCTTTGGAAAAATAAGGAGCGTGGAAGTGCTGAAAAAAGGTGTCTTGGGCAGAATACCGTCTTTGCTTTAAAGGGGAAAAATAAGTACTGCAGATGAAACTTTTATAAATACATATACAAGCTGTACCTCAAGACCGAGTTGCATTCAAATCAGTTTTTGATTTTAGAAACAATCTGTAATACACTGATAACCATACAAGAGTACTGGTATTGTTCAGAACTTGTCATCTTCCTTATTCCACTAGTTAAAATGTTTGTATAGTATTTTTTCTTTTTAAAAAATTGATTACATGAAACCAAAGGAAAAACAGTATTTGTGACAATTTGCAAAAAAAAGTGCTAAATACTAATTGCATGAAGACCTGTAGGATGAGTTCATGCTCAAATGACAAAAGATTTGCATTCTACTTACAGCTTCATCAGTAGGCACTTTACTTGCCTGCTCAAAGCACATTTAGCAAATTATTTCAAGGGCTGCCAGTGCTCTCCTCCATTTTAAACAAGCTCTGGACACATCTCGGCGGGTGAATACCATGTGTACTGTGTGGAAACAGCTGCAAAAAAAAAAAAACCTCCTAAGCCCTGATATTGCAGTTCCACACTCTGTAAACAATCTGGGGGATTGGCTTCTACCACACCATACTGGTACGGTGGTATCTCTTCTTCTCAGATAGGGATACTGTATTAGTTCCACAATAGCTCTCCAATTTCATCTCCCCTTGTTACCTTCCTCACCCAGTTAAAAGTTAATGAAAATAACCTTTTTCTAGCAAAACAAAAAATGAAAAAAATGCATTTTTAGCTAAACAAAATCCTGGCAACCTTTGATACTTCAGGATCAATATGTGTTACAAATTAAACCAATGTGCCATAAAGTTGTATGCTTTCTTTATTGAATACAGGTATATAATCTGTTTTTTATTCAATTTGATTTTATAGACTTCAGATGCTAATATGTACCGTAGACTCAAAGCAGCTTGACTGTCAGTACACGTTTGTATATCAGTTCCTTTCTGTTGCCTTGCTGTAGGTTTACATATGTGTCAGTGACTTCTAGTGGAAAAACTTGCAACTACACCAAATGCTTTTAATAAAATGCCACAATCTGAAAAGCAGATTTACAGAGCCGGTGAATAGTATGAAATTATAAACCTACCTCGCGGCATGTGAGCAGTGCATGTGCTGGCAGCACAAATTAAGATTTTAAGACTAAAGCCTTCCTGTAGAGCAAATTTATGTGATTGTAATCATGTAGGACTACATATAGCCACAGAACCTGTGTAATTATGTTCGGTTTTAAAGGGATGAGGTGGCAACCCTATCTATTTGTCCTCCATAGAATCATAAAGTAAACCTGTGCTGATGAGTATGTAGGCTGCCATTGCTGAGCACTTTTCAAAATGTAATTTGCCTGGCTGCCATGGTGATCCAATAGCCTGAATATTTGGAATCAGTCACCTTGAAGTCTGAAGATCAGGTTTCTAATCTGCAAGCTTGTTCAAGGTCAATGACTAAAACTACAGACCAGGGTTTCTCATCCAGGGTTCTATGGAATCCTAGGGTTCCTCCATAGGTTACTAAGGGTTCCTTGAGCAATAAGACATTTCTGCATCTAAAATAAGTTCTCAATGACACCATTGAACTTTCTAGCTATCTGTAAGGGGGCAATTCTTCCCAATGACCACAAGTGTAAGAAGCATTCTTCCCAATGAATATAACACCAACATATTATGCTAGATATAGTTATTTTTGGCAGGGGTTCCCTAAGCTTGGTAAGTTAATTCAAGGGTTCCTCTTTGCTGAAAAGGCTGAGAAAGGCTGCTATACTGTAGATATAAGAGAACATGCAAGTATTTTTTTTTTTTTAAGACAACAATGGCAGTACCCCAGTCTGCTTAAAATGGAAAATCAGGGATTCACCTTTTTAACTGGCAAAAGACAAAATCAGACTGGGTCCATTATTATTATTTATTTATTTCAGGTACTTATATAGCACCATAAATTTACGCAGCACTTTGCATATATATTGTACATTCACATCAGTCCCTAACCCTCAAGGGGCATACAATCTAAGGTCCCTAACTTTACATTCATACTAGGACCAATTTAGACAGGAGCCAATTCACCTACCAGCATGTCTTTGGAGTGTGGGAGGAAACTGGAGTACTTGGAGGAAACCCATGCAGGCACAGGAAGAACATGTAAACTCCAGGCAGGTAATGCCATTGTTGGGATTCAAACTGGCAACCCGAGTACTGCCAGGTGGAAGTGCTAACCATTTAGCCACTGTGC